CCAGCTACTTTTTCAGTTTCTTGTGTCCTAAAATTATTCACACCTCCAGCATCCACAGACACAAATGTTTTGGGTGCAGACAGCATCAAATTTGCACCTTGGTTCTGCAAAAGGTTAAAAGAATGTTCAGACTCTGCCAAGATTAATTATCATAGAAGATTCTTTGCTTCTTGCTGCTTATAGCTTTCCCACTAATGAGAGAGGTTGGCTTACCTGATTAGTGGTTTTAATCGCTTCTTCTGAGCTAAATTTCTCTGCAACAGATGATTTAGCACTTGTGGCAAGAACTTTGTGACCTCTGTCTATTTCATGGGGTTGCAGTCCTGAATCTACTTGGTTGATTTGCTTCCTAGCACTGGAAGATTCAACTACCAAATCTTGTGATGATGCCACTTTATAAGAGTTGTTTTTCTCTTCAAAATCAGTAGATTGGGGTGACACTGAAGCAGCAGTAGCACTACAAAGACATTTATCCATTCATAGCCTTCAGAAAATTATCAACGTCGGGCATAGAAACCAGTTCAAATCATTGAAAAATAACCTCATATAGGTTCGGATAGCTGAGGAATTACCTAGCAAAATGAAAAATGGAAAGCCTTCCATCATTGGTAAGACAAAGGAGAAGGCAACATGGTGAAACTTCTTTTTCTTCTTCACCAAGCAACAGTTTAATTTCCCCATTTTGGGAAACTTTGTCGATAGCAAGTCCCAATATCAAGATATCATCACCAATGTCTGATACCAAAATAAATATTGTCGTGTTTTAGGAAAACTCGTATTAAGAAAGAAGCAAACTGATTTTGACAAGCATAACACAAAGCAATCTTATACAAGATAAGGTAAAACTGAAAGAAAGCTTAGATCACCATGAGCCTCAATCTTTGGAGACCAATTATCATTCAAAATTTCAATAATTGCAGCTTCATTCTTTGTATCACCAACTGACCATCCAAACAGCAGTATGTGCTGATCCAAATTCTTCCTATTAGCCACAAATGCCAACTGACTGTAATGAATAGCAAAGAAGAGTTAATCAAGAATCCCCTTTTGCAGAATGTGGAAAAGAAAATTGATAAGTGATATACATTAGTCACAATCAACAGAAGACACTGGAAAGTGAAATTCAAGTATAAGATAACATTGACAAAAGATGAGATAACTGAATATAAACACTGCGAATTGAAAAGAAAATTGGAAAGTGATTTACATTACTCAGCGAACAACAAAAACACTGGAAAGTGAAATTTTAAAGGAACACTTCAATAAAATCCAGATGCAGAAAACCTATCAATTATCATAAAGGCAAAGTAATGATACATACTGCTGATCCAAATAGCTCGAGAAGAGATGAGGTCCACTACATGAAGGAACTGCATCGTAACGGAATTCAAGAAATACATACCCGAAGGACCTTACAACTGGCCTAGCTGAAGGCTGCAAAGGGGAAAAAATGGTATGAAATATGAAAGAAAATAATATCGAAAATGCTCAAGTTTATTATAGGCTACTTAAGGTGACTTCATACTATTACAATCACATTGAACATCATTATTTATACTACTCAAAATAGAAAACAAAAAGTCTTGCACAAATTCCTAAATACATGTATCACAATTTACTAGATACATTTACTACGAAACTCTAAAGATACTTTTTGAAAAATTAAGAGACAATTTTGGGAGACTAAACATTGATGCATTAATTCCAACACTCCTCCTTAATGCATTTGCTTGATAACTCCAATGCGTTCTCGAAGATAGCAAATTTTTTCTCTAGGAAATGCTTTGGTGAAGATGTTAGCAAGTTGTTCTCCTGTCTGACAATAATGCGACTGAATTTCGCCTTTCTCTTGTGCTTCTCGGATAAAATGATACTTGATGGAAATATGCTTTGATCTTTCATGGCTGACTGGATTCTTAGCAATTGCAATTGCTGATTTGTTATCACAATACAGAACAGTCTCTTTTTTCGTTTTTCACCAATGTCTTCAAATATTCTCATAAGCCAAATAGCTTGAGAAGTAGCCTTGGATGCTGAAATATATTCTGCTTCGGCAGTGGATTGATCAACAAACTTTGCTTTTTTGATAACCAAGAACAAATGTTTGATCCAAATAAGAAAGCATAACCAGAAGTACTCTTCATGTCATCTATACTTCCAGCCCAATCACTATCAGAATAGCCAATTAAATTCAAATTTTTACCAAATTTGTACATTATCCCATAATCCATTGTTCCTTGCAAGTAGCGTAGAACACGCTTTGCAGCTCCAAAATGCACTTGGCTTGGTTCTTGCATGAATCTGGATAATAAACTAGCAGCAAACATAATATCTGACCTTGTTGAAGTAAGATAAAGCAAACTTCCAATCAAACTCCTAAAAAGTGAGCTATTAACTTTCTTTTCTCCATCATCTTTTCTAAATTTATCATTTGCTGCTAATGGTATGGCCACAGATTGAATTTTTGAAGAATACTTTTAGTATACTTCTTTTGAGAAATGAAAATTCCTTCTTTCACTTGAGAAACTTCGATGCCCAAGAAATAATTTAGCAATCCAAGATCACTCATTTCATAAGCTTGCATCATATCTTGTTTGAAATTTTGCATCATCTTTACATCATTTTTTGTAAAGAGCAAATCATCCACATAGAGACAAACAATGATAATGCTGTCATGTTCTTTCTTCACATACAAAGTGGCTTCACTTTTACTTCTCTGGAAATTATTTTACAGAAAATATGTATCAATTTCATTGTACCAGGGTCTTGGAGCTTGTTTCAGCCCGTAAAGAGCTTTTTTTTAGTCTATATATCTTTTCTTCTCCCCCTTGAACAAAAAATCCTTAAGGTTGCTCAACATAAATCTCTTCATCAAATTTTCCATTCAGAAATAATGATTTAACATCAAGTTGAAATATCTTCCATTTCTTTTGTGTAGCAACAACAATTACAGTTCTAATTGTCTCAAGACGAGCAACTGGAGAGAAAGTTTCATAAAAATCAATACCTGGTTTTTGCGCGAAGCCTCTAGCAACCAACCTTGCTTTGTGCTTTTGAATATCTCCCTCCTGATTGAGTTTGATTTTGTAAATCCATTTTAGACTTACAACTTCTCTTTCTCTAAAAATAGCCACAAGCTCCCAAATATTATTTTTTTCGATCATTCGAATTTATTCTTCCATGGCTTTCTTCCAAACATCATGCTCATGATTTTCTGGCTCAACACCGGCAAAATTACATCTTTGATAAATGTCACTCAACATTTTTGTTCCTCTTGGAGGCGGTTCTTCATAATCTGAATCTGGGATTTCTCCCCCTTGAGAGACATCTTCATCTTTCTCATTATCTTCTTGATTTGAAGATATGATAGCAGTATTCTCTATCTTTTTATCCTCCCAATTCCATATTGTTTTTTCATCAAAAATGACATCTCTACTAACAACAAGTTTGTTAGTTTTGACATCGAGAAGCTTGTATCCTTTTGTCACATCACTATAACCAAGAAAGACACATTTTTGACTTTTTTCATCTTATTTTATTCTTTTCTCAGCAGGTACATGAGCATAACAAATACACCCAAAATTTTAAAATGACTTACAGAAGGTTTAATTCCACTCCAATCTTCAACTGGTGTCTTGTCCTTTAGTGTCTTTGTTGGACACCTGTTAAGGTTGTGAACTGTTGTATGCACTGCTTCTGCCCAAAAATATTTTGGCAGCCCTTTCTCATTCATCATAGTTCTGGCCATTTCAACAATTTTTCTATTTCTTCTTTCAGATACATCATTTTGTTGAGGAGTATACCCTGCTGTAAGTTG